GAAGCCCCTGCCCCGGGCTTCCTGGAATCAGCCGCTGATCAGTTTCAGCAGCAGCTGACTTGGGGATGCCTGGGGTTCTTAAGTTGAATCTGTATGTAAGTCAGAACTGGCGTCCAGATTCAGCCACTGTTGAAACTGATCAGTTTCAGCAGCGGCTGAATCTGGACTCCAGTTCTGACTTACATACAGATTCAACTTAAGAACAAGCCTACAGTCCCTATCTTGTACGTAACCCGGGGACTGCCTGTATTACCTCCACTTTACAGATGGGGAATATTGAGGCACAGAGAGGTAAAGTGACATAAGTGTCACCAAATGAGTCAATGGCAGAGCTGAAAATAAACCCGGTTTATATGATTCCATATATGTTGCTGGGGTAGACTTGCCTTTGACGTAAGTAGGTGTCACTTAGAGGTTTGCCTACTTCTGGAATACTTTTATCTAATTTCTCTGTCCTTTGATACAGATTAGAAACACAGTTCAATTAAAAATCTAGAATTCTGTGTAATGTTTTGCTAAAACAATGAGCCATAGGATGGCAAACAATAGAATTGCAGATACAATACATACATCTTCATTATTACAACTGTCACCTTAAATAACAGTCTGGTTATGAAATTAGGAGCAGTTTTGTCAGGTGGGTGTGATACCAAGAACTTACTGTAAATGCACACTGAAAAGTATAATAGTAAGGATAAAAACAGTGTAACTTGTTCACTGAGATTCCCCTGGTCTGAAACACAGGACATGCTACGGGAACAAATGGGTATCAGATGGCATGCTAGTGAATTTAAATACACCACAAAGAACGAAGTGCAAGAAACTGTCTAAAAGAGCTAATGATAGCATAGAGCAACCATAGTTTCAGTGTATTTTACACTGACAATTTTTCTTAGGAGAAGAGATTCAGAGTTTCTTAAAATCAAATGTAGGTGTTGGTTGGATAGAAAATATTGGGAGTTGCTAAATAAAGTTGTATGCACTATATTTGAACTCAATACCATGATCAACCTCCACTTCTACTTTTGAATCCAAGGAGAAAATCTTGAAGGGAATAAAAAAGCCATCACTTTCTTCCCCCTTTGTCAAAATCATTTGTCAAAAGCATCATTTCCCTTTCTGGTGAACTCTAGTTCCCCTAATGCTGATTGTGCTTTTGAATTACTGCCCTGGTGGTCTTTACTGAGATGACAAACATGAACTTGCCCTCTTCAGAGAAAAGATTTGTAAGTTATAACTGTCCTCATTAGTGCAGATAGTGGAAGATCTGGGCCTGGGAAAATAAGAGCCATGGACCACCTGCATAGTTATCATGCTCACTCATTCATGCACTTGGCTGGCTACAGTACTTTGTTTTACACTGGGACATGTTTACTTTGTCATGCTTAAAAACTAAGTTAGAGGGGCAGGGATTATTCCATTGACCATTTTTCTGTATTGCCCATCGTCACTAATTGCTCAGCAGCAGGGAAGCTGTGAAGCAGCTTTGGACATCCCTGGTTCTGCACATAAATATTAGAAGCATCTTGTGAGCTGTTAAAATAAAAAATGTTCATTCCTGTATTGCTTTTGGGACCCAATCAGATACATTAAAATCAGCATCCTGACACTCAAAATCTTAGTATCAAAATTCCAGAATGGAGAATTGCAATAATTTCAAAATGAAAACATAATGCAAAACTAAACTCCCAGCAGAGTCAAAGGGGATAAGAAATAGAAGTTCAGAATAATCCTTGGTGCATATGTGCTAAATTAATAGAATTATTGCCAGAATGAATTTGACTCCATGGTGTCGTCTTAATCTAAATGGCAGTTTTACCATTCTTAAAGAACACTGATATTCCACTGATGCTTTTTAATGTTCTAAAAAATGTTTCCAGTGTGGGAAGCCTATGCTTCAGTCCCTCCAGCTGCTGTTTGGAAAGGATGATTACATTACATATTGGGAAGGCCTTCTGCATTTACAATATCTCTGCATGGCGGGTATGAGGTTGTTGCCACCTCTGAGACTATGGTAATGTGATAGGCCTTTCCTACTGACTTCCTGGGGCTTGGCATGCAGGAGTTCTCTAGCATTAAAGGGAGGATATGTACCACTACGTGAAAACTCTGCTAGGAGACTAAAGGTAGAATGAGAAACTGACATTTTATGAGGAAGGAGACGTACATTTATGGTGAGGGGGTTGAATGATTGGGATTTTCTTGGTCCTAACAATTTCAGATCATTCACTTAACACAGTGATATTTTTAAAAACAGACTCTTATGCACCATACTTTATTTAATCTATGTAGCCCACATTGGTGTAGTACCTGAGTATTTTTTTTTGTATTGTTGCCTATTTAGGAACTGCTAAGAATTGTACTTGTTGTGGCAAGATGGCACCTTAAATTCTGTATTTTGGGAGCTTTATAATAGAGTAAGGGAGCTTCAGGGGGTAGCCGAAGTTAGTCTGTTACAGAAAAAAACAACAAATGGTCTGGTAGCACTTTATAGACTAACAAGACATGTAGATGGTATCATGAGCTTTCGTGGGCACAGCCCACTTCTTTAGATCTGAAGAAGTTTTTTTATAATAGAGTAAGTTACTGAATTTTGAGTTCACGTTTTGAAATGTAGCAACTTAAATTTGATAGATTAAGTGGGGGGAAAAAGCTGCTTGTTTGTTGCTCATCCAACAAATATCAGACAGAAACCACCCAACCTGGTGTCAATGACTGTGTGTCTGCCTGGCACTAGACTGGCAAGATATATTGCAGATCAGAATTGAAGAAATATAGGATATATTTTCACTGCAAGGTTAGTTCAGACTCTTGCTCAAGTTGTTGCCTCTCATCTCCCTTTCATCCACACTCTCCACCTTACCTGAATTAAGTGGTCCTTTCAACCTACTGGATGGGGGCATGGGTTCAAGCCCAACTTTAATTTGGACTGGTAATCTGCCTGCTTTGCAGTGAGGTTGCAAGATAAATCACAGATGTGGTGATAGTCCTGTAAAGCCTTCTCACTATTCCTTCTGTGTGCAGGAGGACAAACAAGTTCTCCTACAATTCACTGAAAAGAATCATGGAAGTGGCTCTGTTAACTGCAGCAAAAAGAGCTATGAGAGATGCCCACAGAAGTCCTAGCAATACACATGGGGGAGCACAACACATTGAAGACACAGCAACTTGCATATGGCTTTGTATTGTGGCTGCTCACACTCAGGCTAAAACTTCAGTACTATTCACCCAAATTAACTGTGCAGTGAAGTGCAGATGAAGTTTGTACTAATCCTTGCTTCTCTGTGCTGGGCTGTTTGCTCTCAATGGCAAAATCAGTCTCTGTTCCATAACTACTTATTGTTGACAACAAAGTATTTGGGGAAAATATTTGTGCTGGGTGGTTTTTAACAAGCTTGGAAGTATAGTCATCTATAAATGGAGTCAGTCTCTAACAATATTTTATTTGTTTAACTTCTATATTTCAGTAGCATTTAGAAGCCAACCAAATCAGGCTGACAGTTCCTGCTCCTATGAGCTTAGTCTACAAGAGAAGACAAAAGTAGACGAAGGTAGAGACTGGGAGAGGCAGGGTAACAAAAATAATTCTTAGCCAGGCAGAAGGAATAAACACAATTTGTTGCCTGCTTAACCTCTAACTCCTTATTCAGATGTTTAACACTTGCTTGCCTTTGTCCTGTTTTAGACTGTTGGAACTCTGACCCACACTCACGACCATCTTTCGCCAATATCCTAGACCAACTCACTACCATCGAGGAGTCTGGCTTCTTTGAAATGCCAAAAGATTCCTTCCACTCCCTGCAGGAAGACTGGAAGCTTGAGATCCAGGAGATGTTTGATCAGCTCAGGGCAAAAGAAAAGGTAAACGGGAGATATTACTGCTGGCTATAGATACATCAGAAGGATAAATGCAAGAGAAGGAAAGGAGTTATTGTAGAAATATAGAGCCAGTGTTGGCACCAGAATAAATGGATAGAAACTGGTGATCAACAAGTTTAGGCTTGAAATTAGATGAAGGTTTCTAATCATCAGTGAAGTTCTAGAACAGCCTTTCAAGGTCTTCTTCTAGTATATTCCAGTCCTCCTCCACAGTGGTGGATTAGCTATTGGGCCGGTGGGGCCCATGCCTGGGTGCTCCAGAAAATTGGGTGCCCTTGTAGCAAGATGCAAATGAAGCCTGGGATATTTAAATCCCGGGCTTCATTTGCAACTCCGGTTGCCTGCATTAACCACCCTAGTTCGAACTAGGGTGATAGTGTAGGCATACCCTAAGGGAGGTGAGGTGAGAAGAAGACAAGACAAGGAGAAAAAAAGAGAGCCAGTGAACCAAGGCGACGGGATTGAGTGTGCACTTGTGCCTCCATACATACATTTGGGGGGACAAGAGCACCCACATACAGCAGTCAAACTACTTCTATTGTCCCTGAAACAGAAAGAGCTCTCTGCTGTGGTCTTAGGGCCAGCGGAGCTCTCACTCCCATCTGCAGCCTGGGGCCATGGTGGAAGGGATGGGTACAGAGCTTCTCCAGTCTTGGAGATGCTGGGGGGGGAAGAAGGGAGTTGACCATGTATGGAATGGGGTGGGGTTGTGGGTGAGATTGCATGCAGAAGGGTAGGAGGGGCCCCCCACATGCTTTGGCTCAGGGCATCACAAACCTTTAATCTGTCTCTGTTCCTCCATATTGACAATACCACCCAACTTTGTGCCATCTGCCAGTTTTATTAGCGTGCTCTCACTTTTGTATCAAGATCATGAATGAAAATGAGCTGACCCCAGGCTCAATGCAGCTGCCTTTGAAATGCAGCGGTGGCATTTCAAAGGGGCAGCATTGCAGGAGACTGGGATCAGCTGGAGTCCCCAGCTGACCCTGGCTTCATGCAATGCTGCCCCTTGGAAAGGCCTCCTCAGTGTTTCCAAGGGGCAGCATCGTGGGAATCCAGGGTCAGCTGGAGTCCCCATCTGACCCCAGGCTCCATGCAGCATTGCCCTTTTAAAGCACTGTGGCGGCGCTTCAAAGGGGCAGCACATTAGGAGCCTGGGATTATCTGGGGACTCCAGAGCAGCACTTCAAAGGGGCTTTGCAATGTGGAGCCGGGGATCAGCTGGGCACTCCAGCTGATCCCTGGCTCCGCTTGTGCTGCTCCTTTGAAGTGCTGGAGTGGCACTTCAAAGGGGCAGTGCAACATTAACGCCTGCGATTAACACGTTAAAAGGATTAACGCTTTAATCCTGTCCTGCGTTAATCGCAGGTGTTAACACAGGTCAATTGACAGCCCTATAAATAAGATTAATCCCAAAACAATCCCTGAGGAACTTCAGTAATATCCTCTCTCCAACCTGACAGTCTTACTGAAGAGTGAACTCAGTGAAGTCCCCCCCTTTAACCAGTTTCTTATCCACCTTTAAATTCTCATATTAAGCCCCATCTTCTCCAGTCAAACTAATAATTCCCAGTGGAACTGTATTAAATGCCTTACTGAAATCCAAATAGATTAGATCATCTGCATTTCCTTTATCTAGAAAATTGGTAATCTTCTTAAAGAAAGAGCTCACGGTCCTCTCCCCCAATCTACTTTTTGTAAAACACTGTTGAGTTTTATCCCAGTTACCATTAATTTTTATGTCCTTAACTACTTTCTTTTACAAAATTTGCTCCAAGGTCTTGCATACAATTGAAGTCAAACTAATGGGCATGTGGTTTCCTTTCTTTAAAAATAGGTGCTTTATTAGCAATATTCTACAGTTACTGAGTAAAAACCCTCTGAGTTTATGGATTCATTAAAAACCCTTTGGTATCGGGCTGGCAATTTCATATGCTAGTTCTGTTAATATTCTAGGATGAAAATCATCCAGGCTCCCCAGTTTGGTTCTATAAACTGTTTGCATTTGACTTCTTCCTCATGTGATGATTTCTACCTCCATAATCTTGTTACTGTTATCATTCTGGCTCTACTCCCAAGATTCTCATTATCTTCATTAAAAACTGAGACAAAGTATTCATGTAGGTGTTGAACCATGCCTAGATTATCATTCCTCTCCACCCCATCCACAGTCCTTAGCAGTCCCACTTCTTTCCTGGTTTCATTTTTATATAAATGGCTAAAGAATCATTTTTTATTATTGTTTTTTAAATTTCCTTTGCAAGGTCCAACTGTGCTTGGCTTTTGGCAATTCTCATTTTCCCCTACCTTTCCTTGTTCATCCATTCCTTGTAGGCTTTCTGCTTTCTCTTAATAAGATATTTGGGATTCTTGTTCCTCCAGTTTGGTCTGGAATCCTTACCTATGAATTTTCCCCCTTGCTTGGGACTCTGGCTTCAGCTATCTTCTACAGCTTTGACTTAATGTAATTTCAAGCCTCCTCCACATTCAGATCCTTGCGTTCTTCAGTCCAGTCCATTTCCCTATTTCCAATAATTTTTTTTAGTGTGTCCTTTTGAAGTAAAAAAGACTTTACTTGTAGACCTATTTTTATTTATCCTCCCATTTAATTTAAAATGAATTAGCTTGTGATCATTTGATCAATGATTGTCCTCTAACGCCAGTTTTTCTATGAGGTTTTTGTTGCTTACTAATATTAAAATTTAAACTAGCATCACCTCTTGTTGGTTTGGTGACTATTTGATAGAGAAAGCTTTCAGCCGTCACATCCAGAAATAATCTGGGCCCTACTGTTGTTACTAGCGCTTGTCCTTCAGTCTATATCTTGGCAATTAAAGTCTCCCATAAATGCACAATTTGTACTAGTACTTATTGAAATAAAAATATTAATGGTCTCTATCCATATCCAAATGGGATCCTTTGGGTCTGTAGAATACCCCAAGCACTGACTCATTTGAGCCTCTGTTACCTTTTTTCCAAAAGTGATTCTGATCCCCAACAGATTTTATGTTATACATTCTACCACTTCTAATTTCTTTACAATCTCCTTGTGATTAATATGCAGTGCTACTCCTCCTCTTTACAATCTCCTTGTGATTAATATGCACTGCTACTCCTCCTTTTTCTCTCTCTTTTTTTTTTTGCCTGAACAGCACATACTCTACAGTATCCATCCTCCAATCATGACTACTGTTCATCATATTTCTGTTATCTTTGTAATATCTTCTTTTATTTCCCTGTGTCAGTAATTCTAGCTTCTCCATTAGGCTTCTCAGGCTTCTTAGTTAGAGCTAGGTTTTTTGTTTTGTTTTCTATCTTATGATGTGCTAGATGAGAACCTTCCATTTTCAGATTGCTTCTAAGTCAATTTAAGCAAATTATTGCAGATTCTGATTTAGGCAGGAAAACAAGGAACAGTTAACAGCAAAAAATTTTGAACTAGTCCTGATTTAAAAAACAAATCAAGTTGTCATCTCCTCCTCTTCCCCTTCCACCATCCCAAATACTTGGAAAACAAGCTTCCAGGTTCAGCTCCTGTCATCATCTTGCAGGAACAGTGGAAAGTCTGAAGTTGCTGTGTTTATTGATGTGGACATATCATGCTACTCGCTGTACTGACACTTACTGCCTGACCTTCCTGTGATAATGGTAATAACCAGACCGTAACAAGCCAGCATATATGAAAGTGCAGGCTGAATCTCCAGTAGTACAGTCAACCCTGTGTTTATCTGAGTTCTGATGCAGAGCAGAATCTTTTCGATGCACATTTGAATGTTCAGACTTTTATCTTAAAACATTTTTCTCCGAGTTAAATATCTAACTGTAAGTATTAGGGAAAGTGTCTATATAGCTGAAATATTTTACACTACTTAAAGGGGTAACATGCCAAAGTTGGATATGTGTATTTTATTTTTACAGTCAGTATAGTGTTGTTTGAAAGGTGCCTGGCTGGCCTCTGTACAAACAGAAGCCCTTTGTTTAATCACAGATCAGACGCAGAATAAGCTTTTCCCACATTGTCTTATCAAAGTGCCTCAACCCTGAACTGGGTGGACAGCTTTGAAAGGGGGGTGGGGAATGAAATTCAGTCTGTCAGTTCACTCCTTGTCCTCCTTGCTGAGCCTGTGAACCAGGCCAGTAATGAACTCAGCCATCTTTGGATTTGCTCCTTTGGTAGGTAGAATAGTTTCAGAACTAATATGCCATACTTGTGATCTAAGGAATTCTTCTCTCTTTTCACCCTGCAGGAGCTGCGCACATGGGAGGAGGAGCTGACCCGTGCTGCACTCCAGCAGAAGAACCACGAGGAGCTGCTGCGGCGGCGAGAGCAGGAGTTGGCAGAGCGCGAAATAGACATCCTAGAAAGGGAGCTCAATATCATCATCCATCAGCTATGCCAGGAGAAGCCTCGGGTGAAGAAACGCATGGGAAAGTTCAAGAAGAACCGGCTTAAGTTGAAAGATGGCAATCACATCAGCCTGCCTTCAGGTCAGCGATGCTGCAATGCCAGCTTGTAGGGTTCTCTATTCAGCCAAATGAGTTTCTGTTAAATGGAGCTCCTTTGTGCCTACAACCATAGAATGCCCCATTGATGGTCGCAAGTTGTGCCTTAAGAAATCCCAACCTCTTTGGCATCAAGAAATTAAAGGTCAATAATTATAGAGAAAAATATAGGAAATAATAGCAATAAAGTGCATCACAACTAACATTTTCCAAAGGGAAAAGATATGTCTAGAGAGGAATGTAGATGGTTATTGATCTGTAGCACATATCACTAGGTTGCAGCTGGGATCAGGAAGTTCACTTTAAAGAAAAATCTTAATGTTAACTATTAATGAAACATTCAGTACAACAATACCCCAAATCCACCTTTTCAGGTACAGATTGGACCTCCCTGGTCCAGCATCCTCAGGACCAGGGAGTTTGCTGGACCGGGGAGGTCAATTCTGAACCATCTGTCACTGGCCTTCTCAGCCTGGCTCCTCTGTTGGCCCAGCTGCCGGTCTCCCTGATAGCTCTCTGTGTTACCGGCCCCGCCAAAGCTATCTGCCATGCCAGGTTACTTGCCCCGCTGGGTGCCCACTGGAGCTTGCTGACCCTGCCTTGCCAGAGCATGCTGCTCCACTGGGCTCCTGGCCCTGCTGGAGCCTGCTGCTATGCTAGAGCCCACTGCCATGCCAGCCCCCTTGCCACCAGCCCAGCCAAACTTGCACACAGGGCTCCCAACCATTGGCCCCCATGCAGCCGCTGGGACTCTCTGATCCAGGAACATCCATGGATGTTGTCAGCCCAGAGAGTCCTGATTTAGAGAGGCTCAACCTGTACTACCTTCAGTGGAAGTGTGCAAATGTCTACTCTGGAGTTGTCTTATTGTTCAGTAAAGCTGATGTGAGCAAGTTTGATATCAGAACAGCAACCATAGCACTACTGTGTGGAAAATGATCTTGGGACGCTGAGATATGTTGGGTAGCTAAGGGAAGTTTATGAGGATTACAGCACTCAACTTCTCAGCACTAGTATTTAGCACATGAAGTGAGATATAATGCAGAATTAGACTGCTGCTTCATTCACTCAATACTGGATGGAAAATGTTACTTGGTTGGTCAGCAGCTGGGAAAGTGGGTGGGAAAATGATGATGGCTGTCAATTGAGTAGTGAATCTAGGGTGACCAGATGTCCCTTTTGTATAAGGATAGTCCCAATATTTGGGTTTTTTTTCTGATAGAGGTGCCTATTACCCCCCACATACCTTGCACGAATTTTTCTCACTTTCTGTCTGGTCACCCTAAGTGAGTTAATTGTGATGAGAGTGAGTAATGAATGTGCAAATTGCTTGGGGAGTTCAAAACTGGCAAGAGACAGAGTGTGATCATGGTGGATTATGTTTATTAATAGCCATCTTTAACAAGGTTGTAAACACTTGTTTCATGAACTTTTGCTTGCCCTAAAAGTCTCTTTGGGAAATGAGATGGAAAGATTTTTACCTGGAAAAGTATGCAGGTACATATGGGCAGGAATGTCAGTCCCCAACTAAACTAAACATATTTATATGCAGCTCCTTAGCAGCTATGGGTACGTCTAGATTACATGCCTCTGCCGACAGAGGCATGTAAAATAGGCTACCCAACATAGTCAATGAAGCGGGGATGTAAATATCCCCGGCTTCATTAAAATAAAAGTGGCCGCCACGCTGTGCCAGCTCAGCTGATCGTCGTCACGGCACGCGAGTCAAGACGCGGATCGGTCGACAAGGGAAGCTTTTGTCAACCACTCCCTTATGCCTCGTGAAACGAGGTTTACAGGAGCAGTCGACAAAGGCTTCCCTTGTCGACCGATCCGCGTCTTGACTCACACGCCGTGCCGACGATCAGCTGAGCTGCCACAGCGTGCCGGCCACTTTTATTTTAATGAAGCCGGGGATATTTACATTCCCGCTTCATTGGCTATGTTGGGTAGCCTATTTTACATGCCTCTGTCGGCAGAGCCATGTAATCCAGACGTGCCTTATGGGTCCAGATGCAAAACACTAATCTTCAGGCTGTGTTAGATGTATGTGTCTGCAAAGATGCACTGAAACACTGGTGCCATTCTGCAAAGGTACCAGAAAAAATTGTCTGTTTGCTGTGTTTCATGAATAAGTATTTTAATTGTGAATGTTTGTTTCTTTTTAACAGATTTCCAACACAAATTCACTGTGCAGGCATCACCAACCATGGATAAAAGAAAAAGCTTGATCAGTAGTTGTTCCAGTCCTCCTGCAAGTCCTACCATCATTCCCAGACTCAGAGCCATCCAGTGTAAGGAGTTTCCTATACCACTGAACCTGGGAATGACATACTATGCCAAGAAGACACTGACTGCAGTGGGGTGCTATGGGCCTTGTTTAGGACAGGACAACGAATATTCCTAAATGAGGACTAGCTGCGCTGTGGAGAGTTGGGGTGGGGAATGTTCCTTCTCCCAGAAATTTAATCTCACTGTTTTGTGTTTCTGGGCAATTGCTTCTTGATTATATTGGGAACATGTTTCTCAGAGATTCTGCCTGTTTGGTATAACTGAATTTATGGACCACATTTGCAAGTTCAGAATGGGTTTTTAAGGTGGATGAGCTGAAAAAGAACTGTGTGGCAAAGGAATGGAAATTGTTTGGTAAAACATTTCAAGGAAAATGAAAGCAATTGGTGTGGGAATGTGTGTCTGTCATAACAAGCATCCAGGGAATGGAGACCCTACGGGGGGCAGAGGTACATTTAAAAGAGGACTATGATGATAGTGTTGTTGCCTTGTGATTAGTGTGGATCTCAGCACTATGAGAGATGGATTTCCATTATCTTGGTTGGCAGTTTTTGGGAAGAGAACCCAAAGATTAAATGGACTATAAAAGCCTCTCAGGTTGCTCTTTGCAGTTCAGAGTTGAGGCATGTTGAGGGAAGATTGTACAACCATTGTTTTTGCCATACCTTTTTTGGGTTTGTGATTTATTCCCTACTTTGACACAGATTAACTATGTGACCCTAGGCAAGCTTCTTAACATCTCTAAAATAAGGTTTAAAACAAATCTATCTGCATTCTTGCATCCTGTTTGTGTTGCGTTGCTAAATCATTAGATGCGGGGGAGCATGTGGCGTGCTTTAGGTGGCCGGTTAAGTAGTGTTAATACATTTCCTTCAGGGTCTACAGCACTGTTCCGAGCTTCTCTTTTCACCAGTACTGAAGAGTGCTGCATTGCTACACAGGAGGTGTAGGCAGCATTTTGTTTTTTTCCTGACTCATATGTCCATCCCTTTTTTTTTTTTTCTTACTGGTTTCCATAGTGACACCTGGTGAAAGCAGCAAAACATGGGGATGTAACTCACTCCTCCAGAAGGAGGAAGGAGAGGAGGAAGAGAAGAGAAACCAGAAGAAGAAAGGGCGCACCTGGGGACCAAGTTCTCTTTGTCAAAAGGAGTTAGCTGCAGGAGAAGATGGGTAAGAAGAAACAGGAAGGGGAAAGCGTGAATGGCCAAAGTTTTCTAAATGTTAAACCTGTTCATGAGTACTTGGTTCTCAGAAGGGCTGCCTGGGTAAAACTCCAGCTCTATCTTGCCACACTTTTCAGTTGCAATAATTATTTATCCATAGTCTCATACACATTAGAGAGAGAAGAAACCGGTAAATAAAGCTGATGTGAGTTGCATCTAATTCATCTTCATGGTCCAGTGCAGGATTGTTCCTTTCAGTGTACTTTCCAGTACTTTGTCCAATGAAGATTTGAAGTGGTGGGGCTTCCTCTGTTTTGCTTAGGAGACTACTGCACAGCTAATGACTCTCAAATATTAGGTGTCTTTTCCTGATATTCAGTCTAAATTTTATATGGCTCGATATCCTTTGGCTTCTAATTGTACCCCCTTTGGACTACCCTAAACGATTCTTCTCCGTCCTTCATAATGCACCCTTCAAATGCATCTTTTCTTTCTTTTGTATAGTGTTATTAAGATGAGACTAGGGGAGCCAGGTAGATATTTTTTCAGACTTTTTAAAAGTATATGTATACTTGCAGAGATGTTGTGCCAGATATGCTGCAGTTGATTTCTGCTTTGTTCTTCCAATCTTAAGTTTTATGTGAAGACTGTATACCAGGATCCAAACTTTAGCATTTTTGTGACGCAGCTTAATTAAGGTTAGTGGGTTTTTTTAATGAGACAATTAAAAATCTGAGAGCACTGGATGCCTCATGTTTGAAGGTTGCATATGGAGCCTTTCGCCTGTATTGCTAGCCTGGATGCAGCCCAGATTTGTAGTGAAAAAAATCGGATAGCTCATCAGTAGCCTGTCTGAAATGAGTCTGTTGTGTATCAGTTTGCTAAATCCCTGGAAGACCAGTGTCCATGTAACAAACCTGCCCACCGAAATTTGCATTGATTGCTCCCCTCTGAAAGGCCAAAAGATTGAATGGTCCATGGAAGTTAAATTACAATCTCCCTTAAATGGTGTTCTTTCTAGCACAGATTTTTGAGACATATCAACAGGACAGTATGGAGAGAGTTTGCATGACCGTTGCTCAGACTGTATCTGTTCTGTAGATAACTCTTGAGAATTAATTCCTTTATCATCACATAATCCCGTGCCTTTCGCCAGGATTAAATTTAAAAGGGGGAGGAAAAAAATGTTGATAGTAGAAAATACTTCTGCCTTTAAGTCCAGAAGCTTTTTGTTGGAACTCTGAGAGAAAACCTCTTCATCTTTTCCACTTCTTTTCTGGTAGAACAACAGCTGGGAAGAGTGAAACATCTATTGTGCACAGGGAGGTAGAATGATGGGATTTGCAAATTTGCTAATAGTGGGGGAAATTAACTTAATCCCATTCCCTGCAAAACAGAAATGCTATCTCCATGACTGACCAGCTTTTACAGAGGATCTCAGTACGGTTATCACATCATACAGCGCAGCATCTGGAGCATGTTGACTATTGTGCTAAATGAGCAATGCAGTAAATACGATGAGCCGTTGCTGCTCATTGAGATCATGCCAGATTGAGAGACTATTTAAAGCAAAAAGGGCTGCAATACGATGCAGTCATTCTGAGGCACACTGCCCATTTTTATTTTCTCTTTGGATAGTTAAGGGTAAATTTTAAGGCTGACTTAAATGCTAGACATAGATGAAAAGTCTGCAAGCAAGCTTTTCCCACAGAGCTGTATCATTGCTCTTTAACCCCAGTTAGCAACATTCTTGTTAAAATAACAAGCAGTCCTATGGCATTTTAAAGACTAACAAATGCATCTGATAAAGTGGGTTCCAGCTCATGAAAGCTTATGCCCAAATAAATGTGTTAGTCTTTGAGGTGCCACAGGACTCCTCGGTTGTTTGTTTGGTTTTTGGTTTTTCTGAAACAAACTAATAAGGCTACCCTTCTGTAACATTCTTGTTGTTTCAGTTGCCTACATAGCTCTCTGCCAAGGCATCTTGAGTCCTTATCTCCAACCCCCTTTGCAATGTCTTTTCCAGTAGGGATTTAAAAAAACAAAACAGGTTACAGTAACAAGTTGATAAATCGGAAAGGATTCAGGGAAGAGTCATGAAAATGATTAAAGTATTAAAAGGCGTGTATTATAGTGACAGAGGCAAGGAACTCAATCTGTTGATCTTAACAAAGAAAGGGTTAAGGCTTGATTACAGTATAAGTACTTATGTGGTGAACAAATATTTGATAGTGAAATCTCCAGTTTAGTGGTGAAAGATGTAACACAATCCAATGGCTGGGAGTTGAAGCTAAACAGATTCAGAGCGGAGGAAAACCTTTTTTTAATAGTGGGAGTGGTTAACCATTAGAACAGTTTGCTAAATGTAGAGTGGAATTTCAGTCCCTGGCAATTTTAAAATCACGATTGGATGTTTTTCTATAAAATATCCTCTAGGAATTTTTTCAACCAAGTTCTATTGGTTTTGGTCAGATCAGTGGTTCTTAAACATATTTGTTTGGGCCCCCTTATTTGTGTCTGTAATTGTTTATACTCCTCCCTCACCGCCTCTACATGCATATACTGCCACCCAGCTCTGAAGACGGAGTGGAGAGCAGCACTCAGCTCTGAAGACAGCGCCGCAGAGAAGTATGGGTGGCAATGTGAAAAGTAATCATTGTTACTTTTTACAGCAGACTTAGTGCTCTGTTGCCATCCTTACTGCTGCTTCCACCCCATGGCTGACAGCCAGAGACCCATCACCTCCAAGTGAGGAATTGGATTGGGAAGGAAGAAGAGCTCAGGCTGCCTTGACTCAGGGATTGAGAGAGGGGGAAGGAGAGCCCAAGCCAAGGTGGTGAAGCTCCAACTGACCCTTTTTATCTGCACCTCCTGGAGTATGCACATAACTTCCGTACAAGCCCCAGCTATAGGGACTGTTAGCGAGAGCTCTTTAAAAAAGAAAAAGCATGCATAGCTTGCCCCTTCCTTGACACATTCCCTTGCCTCCCCTGCCTCATTGTCTGAGAATCACTGGACTAGATGATTGCAATCATAGGTGCCAGTTTCCCCCCAGTTAGGGGTGCTCAACTTCCCTCTCCACCCCAGCTCCCAAACCTCCATCTCCACTTTGCCTCTTCCTGTCCCACCTCATCCTCACTTCCTTCCCTGAGTGTTTCCCATCCCTGCTCCTACCTCACCTTCCTGAATCAGCAGTTCACATCACTATGGAAGTCTGGGAGGGCAGTGGAGGAGAGGGAGGCAGTAAAGGAGCTTGGCTGCTGGTGGGTACTCTGCACCCACTAATTTTTCCCTGTGCTCCAGCAACCATGGAGTTAGTGCCTATTATTGCAATGGCCCCTTCCGACCTTGGAGTCGATGAACATTATGTTGCTGGAGTTGCAGTGAAATTCCTGGCATGAACTGCACTATAAATTCAAGTTTATATAAAGCCCATCACTGAAAAATCACATGGATAATATTTATCCTTTTACAGTTTGTCTATGAACTGCCAAGATATGCATTCCTGATGAGAACAAGCTGATATGCTGAATTGGCAGTTACTGATCAAGACAGAACATAGCTTGGAACAGTGTTATGGCTCTTACATTGCGGCTTTGTGATATTTACTTCAGGATGTCTTATGGAAACCGTTTAGTTGCCTAATTCTAAGATCCCCTACCCCTAGTAGCACTCAGGTCCGCTGATACAATGACCTGGCCTCATCCTGCTGTTGTGACATGGGAAAAATTTGTTTTGCCTAGGGATAGATGCTTTCAGGTTTTAACACTAGCAGTTGAGTTATCAGTGTTTGTGTGATTTTCAATGTTCTGTTGCACTAAAGGTGACATTTCATGAATTTATGGAAGCTATAGGACCTTGAGCTGTGATCTCTTCAGATCTCACCAGCGAAACAGGAAATAACTTGATCAATACCTACATGGGTGGGGGGTGTCTCTCAAAGAAAATCCATTTGTTACAAAAAGTGGTGTTGGAAATTCAGTAGCAGACATGCTTTCCTCTGAGTCAGTACTGCCCCAGAATGGTGTTTAAAGGACAGTGTACTATTAGAGACTCTTTCAGATGAGACTTTATTAAAGATTTCATTATATGTTTGGCAAATCACTCACATGAGATCTCATCAACTCACAGACTAATGGTGGCACTTGGAGGAATTCCCAAGGGGAGAGAGAAACAGGTTTCCAGTGGGAAGGGAGACTGAGAAAGATAAAAGTATTTGCTACTTCCTCATAAAATTAAAGATAAGAATATTCTATCAACACTCCCACTTAAATAGGCTACTGAAAAAAATTTAAACCTCATTGAAAAAAGTGCAAAGGTGTCCTGGGGAAGCGGAGTAGGTAGTGTGGCTGCTAGTGCTGTCAACTAGTATTGTTCCAGAGGTAATATGCTTTAGCAAGTGGAATACATAGGTTGAACAGCTTTCAGGTACACTTTAGTGATGTATATCATGTGAAGGTGTCTCCGAGGCAGGCCTGCAGGGATCATGGGTAGCAATGTTTGTAATTTGGATGGCAGTGAAATGGTAAAGAATATAAGAATGAGGTGAAATAACTAGTCAACTTCAGCAAATTCTTAGAATTATTGTGATCATTCCTAATCTAAGTAAGGCTCATTTTTGTAAGTGCCAATGAATCTTCGACCTCTGCTTTTTTATGAAGGGAGCTGTGTCTAGAAGGAGACATAGAGAAGCAGAAGAAGTTGATGTGTCGTGCTGTGCCACAAAGGGCAGCCCAGAACACCCCTGTAATCTTCAGGGCGATCTGGATGAAGGTGAAAGCTAGACTGACAATAGTCATGCATTATTCAGTGTTTTGCTGTTTACTGTCTGTGTGCATTGGGAACCTAGTACATACCCTTCCAACTCCATGGAGAAAGACTCCATGCTATTTGTCTATATACTTGATTGAAGTCCTTAGCATTTACCTTTGGAGTAAGTACATTACCCCCTCTTCTTTGCTTGTAATCACCACCTATCCATTCCTTAATGTCTTTTTCTCTGTATGTGTGTGTCCAGGTATATAAGTGGGATGCTTAAGTATAACTAAAGCTACCAGGTTGTTTTATCACGCAGTTACAGCACATCTGGATTTGAATAAGTCATGACACAGCATTTTGTCCTGGTATAGGCCACCCCCTCAGTCACACTCTTCTTGCTAAATCTATATGGACACCTTCTATTGGGGCATAAGATCAACATTGTGCTCACTGGGTTCAGACACATGGCAGGATATTGAACAGACTTTAGAGGAGTGATTAATGTGGCAGAATGATAATATCTCAAGAGAGATGAGAACAGAATGCTTTTAATGCAATTTTAAACTGTGCCCCTAAATTGGAAGTAATATTTGTGATTCCAGGCTAATACAAATACAACAGTCATCACCCTACTGATCATGTGCAAAATCCAAGTGTAGGCTTTGCAGTCTTGCTCTAGAAATATAGTCCTTTGTCCAGCAGGCTGCAGGAGCACTTTAATTAGCTAAAGTAAAGGAAATCCATATTCACACAAAGAAATCTGTAACAGTAGTACTTTGAGATCCAGATCCTAGATGAAAGGCACTATAGAAGTACAGAGTGCTTCCAGTAATGAATTAAGCATCATGAGAACCCTAGGAGGAGGTCAGTATCATTCCCATTTTATTGATTGTGAAACAGGCACAGGAGACTTGAGCGACTTCCTCAAGATCACACAAGTCAACAAAGCTAGGAATGTAACCTGGATTTCCTGATTTGCAGTCTCATTCTCTGACTATTTAAATATGCTCTTTCCTATCTCATTGAGATAATTCATATACATGCATAGTACAGTGAGATTGCTGTCCGTGACTTAGCATTGTTAGATTCCCCTCTTTCTGAGCTTCTGACTCACTTGTCTAGGTCTTGGCTTCTTACTTATGCTGCTCAGTGGCTTGACAGTGGCCTGAGGAAGTAAATAATGTGTGGTGGTAATAAGCCTGGCTGGATGGAAAGATCCATTTGGGCCATTAAAAAGTGTATTTGCTGACCCAAATGTCCCTAAAGTTTGAGTTTGGATTAGAGCTTTTAGTCTTGGCCCATATTTAGAAGACAATGAATGATACAATTATTCAGTAAATGGCTGCATTGACTGTTGTGTCTAGAATAGTCGTTCCGAGATTCACTGGTGCCACCCATTTGACTGTTATCACTGTTAAATAGTTGCTCTAAAATTCTATTTTGGAAAGGGTTAAATATACAAGGCATAACTTTGCCAAGTTCCCTTCCCGGCCGTGATTTTCAACTTTCATTATTGCATTGTGTTTTTATACTAGCATATTGTTGGAGATTAATTTTCTCTGCCTGGTATTTATTGTTGCACCTGCCTTAAGATGGAAATTGCAACATTTTGGTAAAAACTGAGTTTTGCTTAGTTTCTGTACCTTCTATAATTGACTCTGCATCTTCTTTTAAAATGGTATTTTGTGAATTTTTGCACACCCCCTCCCATCATTTGATCTCAGCAGACATCCCTGTGCTTGCCACATTGTAGTATACTAGGAATAATGCTTTCTATTTTTTTTCTTTAGTGGTGGGAACATTGCATAATATCTTCTGGCAAGAGGGCATTAGCTGTGTCTATATAGTGGTGAATTGGCCGAAGCTTAGAAAATAAAAACATTAGAATGTCCATACTGGGTGAGACCAATGGTCCATTTAGCTTAATACCCTGTCTTCTGACAGTGACTGGTGCCAGATGCTTCAGAGGGAGTGAATAGAACCAATTCATCAAGTGATCTATCCTGTCAACCAATCCCAGCTTCTAGCAGTCAGAGGTTCAGGGATACCCAGACAATGGGATGGATGAATCCCTGATGATCTTAGGTTCATCAGTGGTTATTGGCCACTCTCTCCTTTAACTTATTTGATTCTTTTTTGAACCAAGTTATATTTGTTGTGTGTAATATATAGTTTTTCCCTGTCTTTTTCCTCCTCCAGCCTCACATCTCTGGTAGAGGGACACAAACAATGGTCATCTAGTGCTCCAAACCTAGGGAAGGTCCAGAGAACTATACCTGCCTTGCCAGGATTCACCAGCCTAATAGAGATGGGTAAGGGTAGCCCACATAGTTCATTTCACACACATGCATGCATCCCTGCTAGGGTATGTCTACACTTGCACTCTAGTTTGAACTAGGGATGCAAATGCAGGCATTCGAAATAGTCAGTGAAGCGGGGATTTAAATATCCCAGGCTTCATTAGCATGATCTCACCGGAGCTTTACTCCGACCAACAGCTGTTCCGAAAGCGAAAGTGCATGCCGGGACGCGTTAGTTCGAATCAAACCCCTTGGTTCAAACTAACGTTACTCCTCAAAAAATGACCAAGGGGTTTGATTCGAACTAACGTATCCCAGAGTGCACTTGCTGGTTTGAATCAGATGGCGAGCGGAATAATGTGTGGGTGAGATTATGCTAATGAAGTGCGGGATATTTAAATCCCCACTTCATTAGCAATTTCAGTCGGCTTCATTTGCTTAGTTCGAACTAGGGAGCAAGTGTAGATGTACCCTGAGTGAGTAATTCTGTTCATCCCAGGTATCTTACTCTGATGTGTTTGCTTTGATGGCTCGCTGCTTCACCTTTATTTCCACAAGAAATGTCTTATTTCTCATCTCTCCTTTTGGATTTTATGTGCATGTTCATTCCTCTCCCATCTTTCCCCACTCACTTTCTCTCACTCTGGGGCTCACCAGTCTCTCCCCCTCCCTCCGCCCCCCAAGAAAACCCCTCTTAAAACCACTCTCCAGCTCTCTGTGCTCTGTGGTAGCTCTGCGCACCTGAGAAACTTTGTGCTTTTTCTTATTAATAATGCTGTTGGGAAAGGATATTCGGGTGCTGCAATATAGGGATAAATCACTTACGGGAAGTACAATTGGAAAGGTACTTATCGTCTTCCCTACCTTTCTATTCAGGCCCTTATCATGTGTAAATCTACTCCAGTTGGAAGGGCTGAGAAGCTCTTTTCAGAATTGCTTCTCTTGGTCAGCCAGTAGGTGTCACAGTTGAACACATAATTGATCTGTTCTCCACCTTTCCAGTACTCCTAGCCTCCACTAGCTTTGAGAGCTGGATTCATACCCATAAGGACCAGCTTCTTGTGCAGTCTTGGATTGCTTAGCTTGGAGAGAGGAGCCTGGTCACATTTCAGTATGGCTAAACAGTTGGCACTTAAGATGAAGGCCTTTCCTCCTTTGCATGCTTTGTGAAGCTCAATCCATTCATTTTTGTAAGGTGTGTTGTGATTCTCTAGTGAAACCGTTATGTCAGTGCAAAATATCTTTCATTTGCTTTTTAGAGGATGAAGACCGTGAGTGTCTTAATGGAGACAAAGTATACCACTCACCTGGTCGCACCCCATCGTACCTCTGTATCCCGTTTCAGAAGAGCGGAGAGCTTGATGGCCCACCCAGTGATGCCAATGAGGAGTCCACTCCCATGAATTCTGCAACAAGCACCCCTCAGCTCACACCCACCAATAGCCTTAAGCGGAGCGGCTCCCAACATAAGAGGTGGGAGGTTGCCTTGCTTGGCTGTGGGGCAGTGCTGGCTGCTGCAGGCCTGGGCTTTGATCTGTTGGAGGCAGGCAAGTGTCAGTTGCTGACCCAGGATGAGCTGGAACCACCCAAGGAGGAGAAGAAGAAGCGTGACAGTATTTTCCAGAGGACTGGGCGCTCGCGCAGAAGCACCAGCCCACCTTCCCGGAAGCTCTTCAAAAAAGAAGACGCCATGTTGATGCTGGGCGAGCCATCCACCTCACTGACTCTCCTCTCCCTGTCTTCCATTTCTGAATGTAACTCCACCCGCTCCCTGCTGCGCTCAGACAGCGACGAGATTGTGGTGTATGAGATGCCTGTCAGCCCTGTGACAGTTAAGGCTCCCTTGCCAGTAGTTAGCAATCCACTGGTCAATGTACGCATTGAAAGGTTCAAGCAGGATCCCAACCAATCCCTGACTCCCACACATGTGACACTCTCTTCACGTGCCCAGCAAAGGGGGCACAGGCGGACACCTTCTGATGGGGCTATCAAAGTGGCTGGACTGGTTGCCAATGGGTGCTCTCCCAACAGGTGTCCTTCCAGTAACTGTTTAACTGGTGCACTGGGCACAGGTAAGCTTCTCCTCTGTCTCTTTCTCGAGCCTTCAGAATGAAGTCTGTGTTATTGGTGCAGTGATTCTCCTAGCTCTCCCTTTTGTGCCTTTGTCCACTAAGGGAGTGAGTACTCTGTGCTTATGTAGCACTAGCACAATGGTGGGTCCGGAGCAAAAGCTCCTATGCATTATCTTTATACTACTAATAAATAAAATAATACTCAGTAATAATAGCACAGTTCAGGCCTTGAGTCAGCACTGATTTACTGTGCAACTTTGGGCAAGTCTTAACCTCTGTGTCTGTTTCCTCATCAAACAGGCTATGAGGATTACTACATTAGTTTCTAAGACAGAAGGCATCATCCAAGTACAACACCACTTCTGTTTGTTCCTGAGGCTTCCCCCTTCACCTTTTGCCCTCCCTTAAATCGCTCTTGTGCTTTCAAGGCAACTTCTACTCTGAAAGCCAATAAAAATACACACGAGGCTTTTTGGACAGAGTTGATGCCACTTTTTATTTGTTGGCTGGGGGTTCATGTCATGACCAAGCCTCCACAACATCCCAAATTTCTTACCTGTGAGAGGGGACGGGGGGAGAGGACAGTGGCATTGTTCTCTGAACTAAAAGGCTATAGCTACGTAGGCCATTGTTCTGTCATTTTGCACTTATTCTAATATATCAGGGTCTGTAGTGAGATATAGGTTAAAGTAGTCATTTATTCTCATAAAAATAGCTTTAGTGAAAACTTACCTCTTTTTTCAAATTTTATCAGCTATAGAGTATATTTGTATCAGGATTTTTCTATTTTACCATTTAATACACTTCAGCTGGTAAAGTTTTTGGAAAGAAGCAGCACTGGATATTATTATATTAAAAGGGTTAATGTTTGAATCAGTAAGTACACAAATGCATAAACTCATTTCAAATACATGTATAATTCTCCTGCAAAGTGACAGTCTCCCTTGATGTTATGTGAAACCGGAAGAGCAGAAGCATCCACAGTGTTAGAGAGAAACAATCATTTCTCAGGTTAGTGAGGGTGATAAAAACTCTGCCTACTTCCATTATACTTAAGTAACACAATAGGCCCGTATTTATTTCAACTGATTACAGTGCTATCTCTTAGCCTGAATCTAACTCTCAGTTGATTGTGCTTGGCCTTCTCATGTATGTGGTGGTGATGGGAGAATGGTAAGGAGCTCCCACTCTTGCATGCCTCTTATACTTGGGCCAGAGCCAGTTGTAGTCAAGATTGCACTATCTGTGCAGACCCAGAACAAGCAGGAGATGAGATGCTAAAGTGAATTTTCTGACTGCTGCGGCCTGTGCTTTTCTCTCTCCTGTGCATGCCTGGGGATTTGGGGAGGATTGAGTCTCTCCACCTAGAGTAGCTTGCTGCACACTACTCTGTCACAGTGCTGTGCCTGAAGGCTTGTGTACACTAGAAGGGTGACAGTAGTGCAGCTGCACCAATGGAGATGCTGTATGCCAATGGGAAAAAGCTCTCCTATGGGCATAATAAAGCCACCTTCATGAGAGGCTGTAGCCATGTCAGCAGAAGAAGTTTTGCTGCCAACGTAGCACTGCAGTGCATAGGTCATTGTAATTTATGTCACTCAGAGGTCGCTTATTCGCACCCCTGAGGGACATAACTTATGCTAACATAAGTGGTAGTGCGTACAAACCCTAAATGCATTAACTTAGTCCTAAATTAGCAATTTCTTTTCAAATTATATAAGGGGCCAGTGTAGACGTAGCCACATGGTTTAGTTCCCATATTTATGTTGCTCTCTCCCTTTCAGTTGGAGCCCTCAGTCTGTGAATTCTGAAAGTTGATCTTCTGTCCTCGTGCAAGAAAAAACCACAAATTACACACTGCCTTACATTGCTTGGGAATAATTCAGTTTTCAGAATCTGTTTGGATGGTTTCTCTTTAGAAATCCAGTGACCTTTTAACTTTTGAGGATCACCTAGTTGAAGAACATTATTTACTGAACAATACATTTTGTTCTGGGATTCTTCATCACATACAGATTCATAAGATGAGATGTGTATTATATCTATTATATTAAAATACATTAAAAGGATATTAAGATGATAGTGAAACATCACAGAGTGACAAGGTTAAGGTTTCCCACTCAAGCTTTAAGTGATCTGATTTAGGGATGTAATTGACTAGTTGATATTACAGAGAGACAGCAAGGGTGGGGGGGGGAGAGGAGGGAACACTGGGGGGAGCTGGCTTTAAAGTCGGTTTCCCCCATCTCCATGGGAGGGGTCAGGGGCAGCAGCAAACTTTTAAATGTACAAGAGTTCCAGATGGAGCTCTTGTGCATTTCAAAGCAGAAGCACCGTATTGAGCCTGGGGCCAGCGGGGCTCCTCTGCTGGGGCTCTTGTACATTTCAAAGGTGGAACGCGCTAGTCCTTATCGACTAATCGATGGAAATCCCATCGACTATTCAATTAGTTAATTCAAATTTAACATCTCTAATCTGATTATATAGCATTGGGCAGCTATATCTGACACAATCAGTAAAATAGGAGCACAGACTTTTTTGTTATCTGGGGAACTTTGTCTCCTTTCAACAATTTGTTTATACTGGTATTTCTGTTCCCAAGTCAGTGTTTCTTGATTTAATGCAACACCACCATTTTCTGGGGAACAGGGTCAAAGCTCCCCTTCACTCCCAGTGGTCTACCCTCACATACAGTGTTTCAGTTGACAACTGGGAGTTCTGAATTTTGAATATGTTATTTCTTATTTTTGCACATGCCTTTAGTGTATCCTGGCAATAAAGTCGGATGCTTTAAATAGCTCTAGTGTAACTGATGTGACTTTTCTCTCTCTCTCTTCCTCTTGTGGATAGGTGTATTAAAAACTCCCAGCCCAAGCCGAGATCCAAATGAGGTTCCTCGCCTGCCAGATCCCAACCTTGTCTTTCCTCCAACCCCAAGACGCTGGAATGCACAGCAGGACTCCACACTGGAAAGACCCAAAACCTTGGAGTTCTTGCCGAGGCCACGCCCTTCAGCCAATCGACAGCGACTTGATCCCTGGTGGTTTGTGTCACCCAGCCAAGCAAGGGGTGAATCCTCTGCCAACAGCTCAAGTACTGATACCCCAAGCAATCTGGACTCCTGCTTTGCTAGTAGCAGCAGCACTGTAGAGGAGAGGCCAGGACTTCCAGCTCTGCTTCCTTTCCAGGTGGGTGTTCCTGTAGAGGAGCAGATGCTGTTGGACTTAGATGTTGAGGGGCAGAGCCAGGATAGCACTGTTCCGCTATGCAGAACTGAACTTAAAACAACCAAACCTGCAGCGTATGAACTGAAACAAGAGTTCTGGTCTTAGCATGGAATCCATTAGGGGGCAGTAAGCCCCTTTAGAATAAATCGTACTACTTGCACTGAGAATGCACTTTGAAGACAGATAAAATGGAGGGATGCTACTGAGGTCATATCATGGTGCTGCCTCTGTTCAAAATGTGTTGTCTGGCTGCCTGAATTTTGTCTGCAGTTGGATAAACTGGATAACTCAAAGCTGCTGACTTCTTGCTGTGCAGATTTTCTGTAGTCTTCCTTATCTTGTCATTGCAGTTTGAAATTGCAATAAGCAAAAATGATCATATCAAAGTCTCTGGTTTTGATCTTGCAGAACTTGACAAAAATATATATTGGTATATAACCCAGTATTAACCTGAATCCCCGAGATCCCAAGTATTACACTGTATCAGACACCAGAGTTTGGCATTTTCCCAAAGCTGTCCAAGTGGGAGAAATGGCAAATACTTGGAGATTTGCTTCCCTGAATTCCATTCTTACAGCAGGGTTGGTCTTGCATCTACCTGCTACCCTAGCAGAAGCACCTGGCCCAACACATGCTTGGATTTTATATAATGTTTTGCTAAATTCTCCTCAGATGCAATTTTCTTTTGGGGCTTTGCCACCTTCCATCTGACCAAATCTATCTAAGATATAAAAATAATATGGTCCTTTTGTGTGAGTGGACCTGTGACTAGAACAGTAATGCTTTCTGGGTTCTGTGTGACTTCAAATGCAAACTTTTGATACTGATGTTGTATAACAAAGCCATCAACGTTTGGAATAGATAGGTATGCTTTGGCTTGCAGAAGGAACTCAGGCCATGTCTCTACTTGCAGGAAGATCGACACTGCAGTGGTTGATCTTCCAGGGTTTGAATTAATGGGTCTCGTAAGACCTGCTAAATCAAACATTTAGGGTGCCCCCATCAATGCTGGTACTTCTACTCCTCACGAGGAGTAAGGGAAATTGACGGGAGCATTTCTCACATCCACCTCCCACTGTGAGGATGGTGCTGAAGCTCAGCTTAAAGTACGTTGACTCCAGTTTTTTACATAGCTGGAATCGCAAATCTTACAGCAACTTTCCCTCGTAGTGTGCACATGGCCTCAGTGTATTCAGTCATGAGATTATTCCTCCCCTTGTCAATGCTAGTAAAAGAGGCATGTAATCCTAAGGGCTTCTTTCAATTGAAAAAACAAAAAAAAAAACCATAAAAAAAGTGAATAGTTTTGCAGCACCTTAGAGACTAACAAAACATGTAGACGGTATCATGAGCTTTCGTGGGCACAACCCACTTTTTCAGATGAAGATGTGGGTTCTGCCCACAAAAGCTCATGATACCATCTACATTTTTGTTAGTTTCTAAGGTTCTGCAAAACTATTCATTGTTTTTTATGTTTTTCCAGTTATAGACTAAAACAGCTATCCCTCTGAAATTTTCAGTTGAAATCAGTCTGGTGGTAAGGCCTCATGTCATGTAGAAAATATATATTTGGATTAAGCTGAGGTCCTAACTTCACATCTATTCTTTATCCTATCCTATTCTCACCCTTACATCTTTTATCCTGGGTTAATTTCTTTCCTTCTTTAATCTCTTTTCTTCTGCCCTGTTGTCAGTAGCCAAGATGCGCCAAAACCTACAAGAGAGTTCTTCAGTTCACTAGGTGCTAGGAAGCTGAGAGCCAGTTGGAAGAGCACAAATCTTCATTGCTACTTTTGAGTACATAGCGCCAAATGGAGATATCTGAGCTCAATCACTGCATTCACTGTAATAATGTATTAATGTGTTGCTCTAACCAAATGTTCTTGAGGAAGTGAAACTGGGCAGTGTACATTCATTATGGGGAAAACCACTATTCAGGGAAATACTAGTTCTTTGGGGTCTGAATAATTCATGTGCCATTTGCCAAGCAAGGAAGGGAAAGCACGTGACTGGAGTTTCACTTGAGTTGTCTAAGAAATTGTGGCAAAAAGACTCTAGTAAAAGGGGAATGGTACATGTCAATAGCTGCTATTACAACAGCAGATAGAGTTGCGCTAAGATAATATATTTATGTCTGATAAACTCCACTCTTTTAACAACTGCTATCTAGGAAATGAATGCGTAATATTTTCAAAGAAACTCCCACATTTGTCTTTGTGGATCTCTTCTACTATTGTTTCTGTTATTACCCAGCCCCATTAGTTTGTTCTCTTTTCTGTTATTTTAATTCACAAAGTACAATATTATTTTTCTTGGGGTATTTTTTTTCAGTATACTATTGTTGTTTCATAGAGGTCAGGGAGTCTCAGTGTATAGGTTTTTTTCAGACTAGCTGTCCATGCAGATTAGAGAGATTAATCTATTGGCATCCGTGTGGGATGAGGAAAGTGTTCTAATTTAGCAAAATTTTGTGAAGGCTGTCTTTTTAATGTTATAGAAATAGGAGTAGTTGCCTCCTCCCCCAGGGCACAGTTGTTGCAGAATCATCTTACGATTAATAGGGGCGGTATAGCTTTCATAGTGGAGATCTTAATCTGTTGCTGAGACCCTGAAAGAGTTTACAGAGAAACTGGATAACCTCTCACTCTCTCTAAGGTGTTTGCTGTTCACCACCTCAAGATAGTTGAAAGAATAAACATGGAACATAGTGTTCATTGTCATTCAGAGCATTTTATTTAAAAAAGAATGTCCCTTTGAAGACTTATTTGCATTACCTACCTCCCATTTGTAGTATGGTTTCCCCCTGTGTTAGTATTTATATTTGTAGTCAGTGTCAACATTAGATACATGACAAAGATTCTGGAATCAAGCCCAATACTATATCCTAAGACTCACCTGACAGCCTGCCACTTCTTGAATAATCAAGACCAGTTCTGAAATCTTTAAGAAAGAAAAACCTTTTAAAAAGAAAATCCCTTTGAAGACTGGGGTTTTCAGAGCTTTTTTTTTTTCTGAAAAAAGATGCTCATTACTGGCTCATGAATGTTGAAGATAATCAAAAAAACTCATATCCTTTTTTAGGAAATGGCATTACCAGCAGCAATACATTGCACAGTGATACAAATCTGCTGCGACCATGATGCACATTTAACTTCTGCTTTATCTCATGATTGTCTGTTTTCATTCCCTTGAGAAATGAATATAGCTTTTTAGAAAATGAACTACGTCAGGTTTTGGTTTTCAGTAATCACTCCCAGTCTGAGAGCACGTATATGAGGTTTCAAGGTAAATTTTTGTCACTGATTGAGTGAGGCAGCTGCCGCCTTCTGAAAACCATTCTGCTTCCTTAAAATAAAGAATTGATTCTTTCTTTTCCCTTCTGGGAAGCTCCTCTGCCACAGCAGCTCTCTGCATAGGTAAGAGAAGTTGAACTCCTGCCAAGGATGCGGAACTGATTTCTCTTTCAGTCATCATTGCTCTATTGAATGCATGTTCCTTGGATTGATTTGTGAGCTGCTTAGAACCAATGCTGTTTGTTTTAGGTACATAGAATCATAGAAAAGTCGGGACCTCAAGAGGTCCTCTAGTCCAGCTTGTGCTCTGTAGCAGGACCGAGTATATCTAGTCCATTCCTCACTCTCTGATCTATCCTTAAACATCTCCAGTGATGGGGATTCTACAACCTCCTTTGGAAACCTATTCCAGAGCTTAACTACCTTTATAATTAGGAAGTCTTTTGACATCTTAGAGCCCTTCATACCTGCTTTCCAGGGTTTCCTTTCCTTTGAAAGGACCACCACTGTGGCTTTCAGTACATGTAGTATGGTTCCTAACATGTCAGATCATATACATAACTTGCAATTTATACCTTCCATTAACTGAAACATGCATAGAATCATTTCTGTTACTGAGCTAAAATAAGTAAGCAGTTACTTTCTCCCAATTAATGTTCTATATTTCTGCTGTCGATGGCTGGCTCTGTCCCCCCTATTTTCATCAGTTTGTTATTTATTTAACTATTTATTTATTTATCTACCTGTTTGTTTATTTAATATATATTGTACTAGTGCCTTAGGGTACAAATTAGGATCAGGAAACTACACACACATAATAGTGCCAGCCCCTAACGAAGCTTATAATTTAGGCATAAAGAAGAGACAACAAATAGAGAAAAACAAACATGGAGACAGTGAAGGGGGATGAAACAGTGAAATGATTGTGGTTAGTTCAGTAAGAAGCAGACATAAGATACCATGTGTCTAATCATTGTTGAGAGGGTTGTAGGCAAAGGTAACAACAAAGGTAAATCTGAAAGGATGAATTTGAAGGAGCATATGATGTGAAATAAGATAGAATGTAGATGATTTATTTAAAAGATTTGGCTTCTTTTTCCATTGCTGGAGCCTTAAAATAATCAGCATGTTTCTTGGCAGTTTACAACCTGCAGTGGGAGGAGTTTGCCCTCAGTTCACCCACTCATTAGCTGCAAAATACATTGGCTTTTACTGCTGTTAACAATACAGATACATAAACATGCAGATTACAAAATGTCATCTCCTGTATTTTAAAGCAGAATTGTGCTTTACCAAGATGCACTTCTCTAGTTACAATACTGGTCCTTTAATCTATCAAATGCACTCATTGCTAGGGTTGCCAGGTGTCCGGTTTTTAATTGGACAGTCCAGTATTTGAGCTTTCTGTCCGGGAAACAAATTGAGAAAATACCGGACATATAAGTGTCCAGTACTTTTTAATTAAGTTTTATTATTATCATGAGTATCAGTACGTAGTTGAATACTGCCTGCCTGGGAGACACGCTCACACTGTCAGCCAGGCAGTACACAACTACACAGTAGAGAGGAGTGGCGTGGAGGCGGGGCCGGGGCAGGATGGAATCCTCAGGGCCGGACTCACTTGTGCGTCCCACCAGGACCGTGCATGGGACTGGCAACGCCCTGGGATCTGCGTGCACCCGGACCAGCCCCGCTTCCTGCCAGCCGGTTCCCCCCCCGGCCAGCCTCACTTCCCCCAATCCCCTCCCAGCCAGCCCTGCTTCCCGTTGGCCCCCCCCCCTCCCATCTCTCCTGGCCATCCCTGCTCCTCCCAACCTCCCCCCGGCCCGCTCTGCTCCTCTCCCAGCCGGTCCCCCCCACCTGCATCTGAGATCAAGTGTGTCTGGTATTATTTTGAAATCATCTGGTAACCCTACTCATTGCCATAATATCTGCATGTTGGTATCTAGCAGTTAAAAGTTTAGTGCAGCAGCCATTAGGAAAAACATGATGTATTTTTATTGCCCAAAGAAGTGGATTTTATAAAAAGCTTCACCTCTCCACCAAAAATAAAAAGAAATGCTGGGTGGCTGGGTAATGCATGAGGAGTTCAGGGGATGCTATTTAGCCTGGGAAAGCATGGAGTAGGGCTATATGAATTTTATTTTATTTTATTTTATTTTTGAAACAGTGTTTTGATGGAAAATTGAAACAAAATTCTAAATGAGTTCAGATACAAGAAAGTTTTCACAAAAAGGCTTCCTGTGGGAAATGTTTGATGTTTTTTTTATGAAAAATTTGAATGCCCAAACCAAGAGCATTTCCATTTTAAAATGCTGCTCTACTGCCTCATGTGAGCGCTAATGCTAGCTAGATGTAGACTCTTGCTTAATTGCACTGTTAGGTCCACAGCTGATGATTCAGCTGGATAAATAGCAAGTGGGGATCTGAAGTAAGCTTGAGGATAATCCCAATGAGGCATGCTTATTTTGATTCTCTGTGAGATACAGTCCTATGCTGGGACAAATACAGAGAACTTTGGGGAGGGAGTAAACAGTGTGGCCACACAGCAACCTTTTAGCGCCACACAGATGCTAAGAGAACCTGCCCAGCCTGGACCTGCCGTGGCTCAGGGATGGACACCTCTACCCCAACACAGCTCTGGTCCTACTGTGGCCAGGGAAGAGGTGTCCACAACCAGACGTGCTGCATCCCACCTTCCCCCAGACTAGACCTGCCAGAAAAGGGGTGCCTACCCCATGTCTGCAGTCCCAGAGCTGCTACAATGGGGAGAGGCACCTGTTTCCTCTCCTCCCCCAGCCCAGGTGCTGCTGCAAGGAGAGGGAGCTGGGGAAGAGTAATCTTTCCCCATTATAACCCCAGGACCTTCTGCAATCCAGAGTCTTCGTATCTGGCCCCACCCCAGAGCCTGCACCCTCAGCCAGACCCATCAACTTCCCACTCTTGAACCCTCTGCACCAGCCTTGAGCCCCTCATCCCCAGTTCCACCCCAGAGCCCTCACATCCCTACACTCAT